CTCCAACTCCTGGGCTCAAGCGAGTCTCTTGCCTCCACCTCCCAAGTGGCTGGGACCACAGGCGCCCGCCACGACGCCCGGCTATTTTTTGGTTGCAGCTGTCATTGTTGTTTGGCGGGTCTGGGCTGGGGATTCGAACTCGCCACCTTAGGTGTACGTGGCTAGCGTCTTAGCCGGTTGAGCTATAGGCGCCGAGCCAACTTTGATGTTTTTCATGTTTTAAGCCCCTTCTGTGTGCTGGACACTGTTCTAGGGACTGAAGATGTGGCGGTGAAATTATAGATTAAAGACTCAGCGCCCATAGTACAGTGGTTATGGTGCCAGCCACATGCACTGAGGCTGGCGGGTTGGAGCCTGGCCTGGGAGAGCTAGACAACGATGACAACTGCAACAAGAAAATAGCCCGGCCTTGTAGTGGGCACCTGTAGTCCCAGCTACTTGGGTGGGAGGGAGGCTAGGCAAGAGAATTGCTTAAGTCCAAGCGTTTGAGGTTGCTGTGAGCTGTGATGCTACAGCACTCTACTGAGGGCGACATAGTGAGACTCTTTCAAAAAAAAAGAAATTATAGATTAAAATTCCTTATGGGAGGAGATGGACAATACACTTTAAGAAATTACATAGTACTTTAAGAGCTGATAAGGGCAAAAGGAAAAAAAGAGTGGGAAGACTGTAATGAAAGGCTATGTGGCTTTGGGGGGGAGATGACTCTGAAGAGGTGACATTTGGGCAGAGACCTGATGAAGTAAGACAGACAGAAAAACTCTGGAGGAAGAATATTCCAGATAGAGGGAAGAGCCAGTACAAAGGCCCTGGAGTGCTGTTTGTTGGGCAGCAAAGCCAGTGTAGCTGGAGTGGGACGAGCTCAGTGAAGTTAGCAGGCCCTGTAGACTACTCTGTGGACCTTTTGGTTTTTACTGCAAATGGAAAAGCCTGGAAGATGAATAAATGAGAAAAATTATTTCCACTTATGTTCAGCAACTTAAAGAAAACAAAACAGGACAGGAGTAATGGGGAGGCCTGGGGAGAGATCCCTGCCTGTAGCCAGACTGCTCAGAGAGACCAGAAAACGGAGAAGGAGCCAAGATTTCAAAGGCTGGGGGAAGGGAGAAAAAGAAAGGCCCGGGCCTTGGGAAATGAAACTAGAAGCGAAGCCACCAGGTTGGGCAGGCCCAGGGAGCAGTCTCCGCCAGCCAGGGAGGGAGGAGAGGGCCAGGGGAGAGTCCTGCCCACAGCCGGCCGCCCCGCCCAGCCCCTGGGGAGGGAGGAGGCGCCAGGCCGGCTTCCGGCCGCGGGCGCCTTGCGGGTGTTCGGCCGGCTGTCCAGCCCAGGCCAGGAGGAGGGTGGGCAGCTGGGTGGGACCCGCCTCCCCTGCCACGCCCAGCTAGGGCTGCGAGCCCATCCCCCACCGAGGGCTTGCGGGGGAGGGAAGCTTGGGGAACTTGGACTCTGCCCTCCGGGACTTGGGTCCCTCAGCAGGGCCAGACTTTCCACTTCTGTGGCCGGTTCTTTGACAGGTGAGACGTTAGGGAAGGAGCCGGGCCTCTCTGAGCCTCAGTTTGTTAATCTGGAAAGCGGGTGCTTCTCATACTGACCTTACTAACAAGCTACATGATTTGATTTCTCCTCCCTTGGTTGTCCTTAGCACCTTCGAAGAGAGCTGTAAGAAACAGGTAAGTCCTGTCACATTCCTCCCCTGCTCAGCACCCTCCAGTGGCTTCCATCCCACTCCAGGTAAAGCTAACGTCCTCCTCCTCGTTGGACTCCCAGGAGGCTCTACACATCCCGCCTCTCTCTTCTCACCTGATCACCTCTCTGCTTCTGCCAAGCAGACCTCCTTGCTGTCCTATAGTCACTCCCCTCACACTCTGGCCTCAGGGCCTTTGCACTAGCTGTTTCCTCTGCCTGGCTTGTTCCCCAAGAGATCCACACAGCTCAGCCCTCACCTCCTTAGGTCTTTACTAGAATCCCACTTTGCCAGACAGGCCTCACCGACCAAGCCATCAACATAGCAACACCCTTTCTGCCCTCCTGGTACCTCCCCATAGCATTTATCACCACCTGACAGACTGTACCTTTTTTTTTTTTTTTTTGTAGAGACAGTCTCACTTTATCGCCCTCGGTAGAGTGCCATGGCGTCACACAGTTCACAGCAACCTCCAACTCCTGGGCTTAGGCGATTCCCTTTCCCACAGCCTCCGGAGTAGCTGGGACTACAGGTTCCAGCCACAAGGCCCAGCTTTTTTGTTGTTGTTGTTCTTGCAGTTTGGCCGCGGCCGAGTTTGAACCCGCCACCCTCAGTATATGGGGCCCGCTCCCTACCCACTGATCCACAGGCGCCGCCCCAGACTGTTACCTTTTAACTTTTTCTTTTTTGCAGTTTTTTTGTTTTTGTTTTTTTGGCCGGGGCTGGGTTTAAATTCGCCACCTCCAGTATTTGGGGTCGGTGCCCTACTCCTTGAGCCACAGGCACCACCCTTAACGTATTTTTCATATATGTTTCAGTCTTCCCCCACGGTTATACTTAACGAAAACAATTGTCTATTTCATTCATGTGCCCACTATAAAAGATCTGGGCTTAGAGCAGGCAGGCACTCAATAAATTCCACCCATTATTGGAAGCCTCCATGTGGATCCAGGTCTTTCTTGCACACTTTGCTCTGCAAGGCAGGTATTACTGCAGATCTTCAGTTTGGGGTATGGTGGTGTGTTGGAGTGTTTGAGGAATGGCAAGAAGTGGTGTGGCTGGAGCACAGGACTGAGGGTGTAAGTTCTGAGATGTGGGAGGCCATTACAAAGTCTGGAGTTCATTTGTTCCCCAAATTAATTTCTTCCTTCCTTTCTTTTCCTTTTCCCTCCCTCCCTTTATTTCCTTCCTTACTTCCTTTTCTTTTTCTTTTTTTTTTTTTTTTTGAAATGGAGCCTCAAGCTGTCCCCCTGGGTAGAGTGCCATGGCATCATGCTCACAGCAACCTCCAACTCCTGGGCTCAAGTGAGTCTCCTGCCTCAGTCTCCCAAGTAGCTGGGACTACAGGTGCCCGCCACAATGCCTGGCCATTTTTTGGTTGCAGCCATCATTGTTGTTTGGCGGGGCCGGGCTGGGGATTCGAACCCGCCACCTTAGGTGTATGTGGCTGAGCCTTCTTTCTTTTTTTGAGACAGAGTCTCACTCTGTTGCCCTGGGTAGAGTACTGTTGACATAGCTCACAGCAATCTCAAACTCTTGGGCTCAAGTGATCCTCCTGAGTCAGCTTCTCAACTAGCTGGGAGTATACAGATGCCCACCACAATGCCTGGCTAGTTTTTCTATTTTTTTAGTAGAGATGAAGTCCCTCTCTTGCTCAGGCTGGTCTTGAACTCCTGAGCTCAAGTGATTCACAGGCCTTGGCCTCCCAGAGTGCTAGGATTTTAGGACTGAGCCACTCTGCCGATCTGTTCCACAAAATTTGGGGGAGACTGTGTGTGCCAAGCATAGTTCCAGGGACTGAGGATATAGCTGAGCAAGGACTGACACAGCCCCTCTTTCTCAGTTTCCAAGAGTAGGAGGCAAACCATAAATGGGTAATAAATAACTGGAGACTGGGTAGGTACTACTTAGAAAGTCAAATAGGGTGTGGCGCCTGTGGTTCAAGGAGTAGAGCACCATATACCAGAGGTGGTGGGTTCAAAACTGGCCCTGGCCCAAAACTGCAACAACAAAAAATAAAAAATAAAAAAAAGAAGAAGAAAGTCAAATAGGATGTGATGGGGGTGATGATCCACCTGAACATTTTGAGCTATGAACGGCAAGAAAGACCTCTTTGAGAAGGGGACATTTGGACTGGTGAAACTGTGGAGGAAGTATCTATCAAAGAAAGTGCAAAGAAAAGCCCTTTAGCCTGAAGGCACCTGTGTGATTGTAGTGAAGCAGGAGAGTGGGAGACAAAAGGAAAGTTGTCAGGGGAATGAGAGTTATTTAGTCCTTGCAGGCCTCAGTGGAGTTGGGAATTTATTTTGAATGTGACATGAAGTCTTCAGGAAGAAGACATGATTCATTTGGCATCCTGTTGGGATACAGATCTGGTGTGCTTTCTGGAGTTCCCCCTGACCATCCCCTTCCCCTCTTTGGATTGGCACCTGACTGCTCAGATTACCTCTCTGTTTCCTGACTTAGATGTAATGACCCCCTCAGAGTGAGAAATCTGGTTTTGATCCAGAAACCACAGGCAAAATCCCCAACCTTTCTCTGTGATGGACTATACCCAGGTGTGGTTCCTCTTTAAAACCCTTCCAGTAAAGTCCCTAATGCTGTGTAAGTTCACCTGCTGCATCTTTTCAGCAGTCTTTGTGAAGGCATAGCCAGTGCAGCAGGGCGCACCATTTCATCTTCCCAGCCCTCCCTTCTCTTCTCCCCTCACCAGTCAGGGCTTTCACCTCCTAAATAAAGCAATAGTACCTAATTTTAGTCTGGGATTTGGTTCTTAGCCAATAGTCTCCTAAAAAAAATATTTTAGCCCTGGGGGTCTTTGGGCATCTTCTTTTTCTGCTGGGCTTTATTCAATACAAAGAAAGGGTTGACTGAAGAAGGCTCTGAAGGCCAGAATTTTGAGTCCTAGCTCTCTGGCCCTTGGTCTTCCTAGCTGTGTAGCCCTGAGTAAATGATTTGGCCTCTCTGACCTTCAGGTTCTTCTATGTAAAATGTGGTAATGGTTTCTACTTCTATATAATCATGAAGATTAAAGGACTTAGTTCAAATAAAGTGGTTAGGACAGTGCTCTTAACAAGCAATCAATAAATATTATGTACAATAATCTACCTGCCTCAACTTTGGCAATGAATGAGTATAGGAGTCTAGGAAACTTAATAGGTTTCTCCCATTGCCTCCCATTTACCCAGGGAATCTTAGAAATTTCAAGACAACATCACTCCTTCCAAAATGCTTTTATTTAAAAAAAAATTATAAACAAAAAAAAGCCACCACAAACCCTGCCTTTCTTTTAAATAATGCAGCATGGAGCAGTTTGGTTTCTACCCTATTGCACGTGGTCCGGCCTGGTTATGAATGAGGAGGCTGCTGGGACTGGGGTCCTGCCAAGGAAGTGGGGTTCAGCTTGGGAGGAAGAGACCAGCCCCTCCCACTCCCTCAAGGTGCAAGAGGCAGAGCCTGGGTTTCCATAGCAACCTGGCAGCACATCCCTGTCATCCTTTGACAGGCCTAGCTTTCTTATCTTCCCTGAGGCCCCAGTGGTCACAAGGGGAGCAGAAACTGGAGGGAAAGGTGAAAGAAACATGTAATTGGAAAATCAGACTCCCAGAAACAGAGTCTTGTTAAGGCATTTGGAACAGATAAATTAATTCAGGAAGACCCACCTTCACAGAAGGCTGGGGTAACCAGACACACGCATGCAAGACAGTTTGTGGAACCCTGAATGGGAGAAAAGGAGGCCATAGAAACTGCATAGAGCCTCCACCCAAATCAAAGTGGCATCCAGGGATCCAGCCCACCAAGGCTGATGAGTAGGATTCTTCCCCACCCATCAAAATTTTAGGACCCAAGAATGATTTCCATGATGTGATCTAGTTCATTCCACTCCCAGGACCCTGGAGCACAGAAGAGGTTGTGAGGAGGCTCTGGTGGGGCCAGTGCAGGCTCCTTTTCCACTGCAGATGTATCAATGTCCAAAAAGAAGTCATCCAGGCCAGAGTCCCCCAGGTACCGGGAGCTCAGAGCTTCTAAGAAGACTGGATCAGGCTGGGCTGGCAATTCATTCTGGAGGCCTGCAGGAGCCACTGGGTTCTGAAGAGGCTGGGTCTCATCCATGGAGGTCTCTAGCTCCCTGAGGATAGAGCCAATGGTGGCTGACAGGGAGAAATCTTCCTCACCCAGGAAGAGTGGCTCAGGGGGCAGGGGGGCAGGAGCCAGGCGAAGTGCAGCCTGGAGTTGTTGGAGGGTGTTGTGGATGAGGACATGCCTTCGGAGGCTGGGTGCTCGGGGACCCAGGCTGTGCTGGACTTTGTCTAGGGAGATGCGAAGAAGGGCTTGCTGGTAGCTGCGAAGGCCAGCTGGACTCCAGTCCCACTTCTCATCTTCCTCCTCCTCCCCTTCCAAATCTGAGTATTTCCTCTTCAAGCCTCCCACCATAATGCCCTGTGGAGAGAAAAGGGGCAAGTCTGACATTGTATGGCTATTTCAAATCTTCATTTCTCAGGATGATTTTTAATTATTTGAACCTCAGTTTACTCATTTGTAAAAATAAGATTGTATGGCTTGGCGGCCGTAGCACAATGGTTATGGCTCTGGCCACATACACGGAGGCTGGCGGGTTTGAACCCGGGTGCCAGCTAAGCAACAAGGACAACTGCAACAGAAAAATAGCTGGGCATTGTGGCAGGCACCTGTAGTCCCACTACTTGGGAGGCTGAGGCAAGAGAATTGCTTAAGCCCAAGAGTTTGAGATTGCTGTGAGCTGTGATGGCACCGCACTCCTAGGGTGAAATAGTTAGACTGTATCTTAAAAAAAAAAAAAAAAAAATATATATATATATATATATGATTGTCTGAATCCCACAAGGCCTAGGAAATGAGTAAATGTATACGATTAATAAAGCAAGATATACACTTAAACATAGTTGGGTTTGAATCCCACTTACTTGCCTGTTGTGGCCTCAAATAGTGAACTTACATCCTTGAGAAATCAATTTCCTCATCTAAAAAGTAAAGAAGCTATATCAAGTCCCTCTGCGATTTAAAATTTTTGCTCTTCCATAATACTCATTTCTTCAAACATGTCACACACACAAAACAGGCATTGTGTGCTGAGACTGGAGCTGGAAGCAGGGAATCCCGGGTTTGAATTCTGCCCTGTACGCTGCTTAGCTGTGTGATCTTGGGAAGTGACGTGACCCGACGAGCCTCATCTGTAAAATGGGGACTGTAAAAATAACTTCTCACTACATCCGTCAAGGAGAGCCGACGAGTAATATATGCACAGAGCCACACAGGAAGTGCTTAATGAACACTTATTTACTTAACAGTTTTATTTTATTGAATGTTTATCATCCTCGAGCACCTGGAATCCTGTTATGGTACCTCTTTGTCGAGATTCTTCTTTGGCGTGGAAGGGGTCTTCCTCATTCCCTCTGCTCACACGTTCAGCTTCCCCAAAAATGTGCCCCGTAAGAAAACTCTCTAGAACCCGACTCTTGCCAAGCCCCGCCCCTTCCTCGGGACTCTATTCAGCATTAGGAACGCCCCAATTTCCCAAGGGCTTCTGGGAAACGTGGGGCAAGAGCCGCCGAGCACCCGAACCGACGCGGAGTACTCACTACAATCCCCAGGGGGCTCTGCTTGCCAACGGGACCAACCAATTACTCCCACCCCTCCCTTAGGGCATGCGCAAAGGGACACGGGCGGGTGGGGGAAGGGAACCCGGACGTCCAGCTGCCCAGCGCCGGCCGAGCCCCGCCCTCCAGTGCCTCCCGCGCAGCAAGTCTAAGCTCTACGCCCGGAACACTCCTCCCCCACCCTAAGACACAGCTCTAAAACTGCTTTCACCCGGTCCCTGCGACTCCTTAAGATTCGGGATTTCTTCCCCAAAGTGCCCTTGTGTTTCAAAGGCAGACCCCAATCCACTGCTCAAAGACGACAAACGCTGTCCAATCCACTCCGTTCGGGAGACTGGGTATTCCCATGTTAATACTCCCCCCAAAAAACTTTCTTCTATTCTCTAGACTTTCAAACGCCTCTGAACTTCACCTCCAAACTTCCCGTCCAACTCTACGATGCGAACGCTGAACTCTTCCCAGTAACCCCTTCCCTGCCAATGTGTCTCGGAGTCCAAAATTCCTTGACCCGAGATCCCTCGCTCCTGCAAATGCTCGGGATTCCAGCCCAAAACCTCTCACACCTTTTCGAGAACACTATGGAGCCCAGAATTCAACCCCTCTGAAATACCCAAATAGGGTGTAATCTCAGATTCTCTACGCCAAAAGTTCCTTCCCTTGGCTCTCTCGCTTCTCCAAACTCCCCATGTCCAAGCTTCAAATTCCTTCCACTTGAAAATGCTGCCCCAACAACCTCCCTTCCAATCCTGGATCTCCAACTTAGTCTTGGGTCCCCAGTCCCTCCAAAACTTGTTACCCTTAATCTGCGACCGGCATCGCAATTCCTGCCCAGACCCCGCCCCCGCAAATCTCGGGGGCACGCCTGGCCCTCCCATCTCCTTCTCCCACCTAAGGTAGATCCCAAGCCAGGCGGCCTCACCTCACCTCACCTCAGCTGCCAGGTTCTCTACGACCACTTCCCCGGAACGTCAGCACCGTTGCGACCCACCAAGGCTGATTTGGGGCCTCTCTCACCTCCTTGGGGCCTCTACTTCTGGCCTCTGGCCCACCCAGCTTCGCCCTGGAGCAGAGCTGCGAGCCACAATTGGCTGGAGTCCTGCCCGCCGCGGGGCGCCGATTGGCCAAGCAGAGCCACCACCGGTACGCCTGGCTACGCCCAATCCGCCCTCCCCTCCCTTAGCGCCTCAGGCCTTTTAAAGGATTCCTACTTACCAAGGGGCGGGGCCGCGTCTTAAGGGAGGAAGGTGGCGGGTCCATCAAAACCGCTTCCTTCAACTCAACTACAGACTTCGCTCGGAGATCGTCAGCATTGCTCTCTGCCAGGTCCTTTTATACCTTCCCTGGACACCCCTCACCCCCCGACGCCGACCTCCACGGCAGAGCAAAATGGGCTGTCTAGCCCCGTCCTGCTTTCGTAGTGGGCGGGGCCAAGCAACTGCTGCAGGC